ATTTAACCTTACAAAACTTTCTACATAGTCACAGCTTTTAATATTCTAATTAACACATGCACCTGATTCAATTGATCCATAGATACATTTCTTACTCTAACAGTCTTCTCATATTTATTACCAAATCTAGAAATACCTATTTCATTTTTATAGCAATTTTCAGAATTGTTTGCTTTATAATTCTGTTTAGATAAGTCTTCAGATTTCTTATCACCTATTTCATCATCATTTACTGAACCAACCTTTATTTTCTTTCTTTTAATTTTGTCTATTTCCACTTCACCACTTGTTTTATTGATTATCTGTTCCTCTGTATTATCTATTTCTCATTTATTACTATTTGCTTCTTTTTTCATCACCTGATCTTTATTAACAACGAAATACCATTCAAATAGGTTGCAAACAGATATCTTAGACTTTCGTTCATCTTTTTCAATAACTATTCTATTTTGGTAATATTGTCCAATGCTATACATTTCAGTGAAGTCTTCCATCTCCATAGATTTTTAGTGATTAATAGATTTTTTATACTTATTTAAGTCAGATATGTTTTTAATTTTTATTTCTTTTGTCTGTCTCTTTCTATCTTTTATTTCACTAACTATATCTGTCACTCTATTGAGGCCCGTATAGTATACATATTTGGAGAATACATACTAGCTATATATACAACTTTTGATTGCCTGTTTAAGTAGTTCACTTATTACTAAGTTCTACACTAAATGCTATACCTATAACCTAACTAGAATTATCTATTTAAACCCTCTGTGCTTATAGTGTTAAACTTTATAACTGAGTGAGAATCTATTTGAACTTCTAATTTTTAGACACTTAGCTTAGGATTTTAAAGCAGGCTTTAATTATTTAGAGAGCCCTTTATCCTTAAGGTAAACCTGCTAGAGCTTTCCATATCTACAATCTGGCTAACTTAGACTTCAGTAACTTATACCAAGTTTGAGAATGAGTACTTGCAAGCTGAGACTACTATCATTATCTACTTCTGCACTTGTAGAGTTCATCTAAACCTCAATATACACTTTATGAACTATTATTAATTTTAATCCCAACAACTCTAAACTACTAATTTAGATGGTCCAAAAAAGCTGTGACCTGCTCCTGGTCCCTATGGTTAGATTCTTTTCCTTTGTACTTATATGGTGGTCTGGTTGGTAAAGTATCTTGCCAACACTTTGGTCCTATTCAGTTTTGCTAGTTCTTCTGATAACAATCCTTTATGTAGTAATATCAAAGATTTGTACTACCTCTTTATTTGGGTCTTGCCAAGTGAGTATCTATCTTTCTTTCTGATTTCTTATATTAATATGATCTAGAAGCTTGTTTGTATAACTTGTATATCATACAAATACCCATGATCTCTTAATCTTGTTGGTATTACCAAGATTACGAGACCTGTTCCAACTGATTAATCAACAAAAGACAGTAAACATCTTACAGATAGAATTTTTAAAATTCATTGCTAGTAGGTTTCAAACCCTCTATCTAGCCAACATATCGTTTGGGAATACGACAACTTAACTACTTCACTAAGTTACTATATCTTAAAAGTAACATCTTTTGCCTAAGTTTATATTATGTATATTTTTATAATTACAAATTATATAATAACTATAGTATATAACTAGTAAAACTTTGGCTTAAGACTATTTTATTT